TTTACAGATCTTCTTTATGCACCAAGAGCTTGTAACACTCCAAAGAGAAAGGAAAACTTGAAATCGCATCATATAACCCCTTTAAAGTAAAAGCTTTATAAAAATCAAAAACGTCAAAATATCTTGAGCTTGTGTTAACCACAGACCTTATTCAGGCATTTAACCAAAAACTCATTCAAAAATACATTGACCTTGGGATGATGGAAACCGGATGTGCAAAAACGCTAACTTATTTACAGGTTTTGGCCTCCAAAAAAATACGTCATCCCTTTTGTGTTGTACGTTCGAGTGAAACAAATCATCAAAAAAGATGGATTTGACGAGAATTTGGTTCTGTGCATTGGTTGTTTATTGGATGGAGGCAGATCTGAACACGAGCTTGCTGTTGATTGTAAGGAAGGGCTGGGTTTTAAATAGACTGAATGATTGGAGAAGTCAGTCATTTCACTGAAACATCGATATATTGGGGAAGTCGTGCCCTAATGGTTAGAGAGTCGGACTCATAACCCAAAGGCTGTGGGTTCGAGTCTCGTACCGGCAGGGATTGTAGGTGGGGGGAGTGAATGTACAGCGCTCTCTCCCACCTTCAATACCACGACTGAGGTGCCCTTGAGCAAGGCACCGAACCCCCAACTGCTCCCCGGGCGCCGCAGCATAAATGGCTGCCCACTGCTCCGGGTGTGTGTTCACGGTTTGTGTGTGTTCACTGCTGTGTGTGTGCACTTTGGATGGGTAAATGCAGAGCACTAATTCCGAGTATGGGTCACCATACTTGGCCACATGTCACTTCACTTTTTTGATTAAAAATTGTAAGGTCTAAAAAAATTAAACATGCATGAATGAATCATTCACAACATGCATTTAGAAAACATGAATTTCCATTTCATGCCAATTGCACAAAAGGCTGCAAACGAACAGCGCGCATCTGAAGTGTCTCTGAAGGAAATAATGCATTATTTATCAATTATTTATTTATTTATAAATTTAATAAATTTTCTTATCAGGCCGATACCAGAAAAAATGAGCATTTATCGGCCGATACCGATATGGTGGCCGATATATCGTGCATCCCTACTTTAAACCATCTTGAACTTAACCATGTGCAGTGTGGGAACTGCAGGGATTAGGGACAGATGTAGTTAGAAAATACAGAATAGATAAGACATTGTCTAGCATGCAAGTCAACCATTTTAAACCATTGTTTGCTCTCTCACAGGTCAGGTGATCAAAGCATGGGACATCGGTGTGGCCACGATGAAGATTGGCGAGATCTGCCAACTGATTTGCAAACCTGAGTATGCCTATGGAGCTGCTGGCAGCCCACCCAAAATCCCACCCAACGCTACCCTTGTGTTCCAGGTGAGGTCCAGATGCATGTGAACAGGATATTCAGAATATTGTATTGTATAATAAAGAAAATTGTAAGGAGTTTGTGTATTGTCTGGCAGGTGGAGTTGTTTGAGTTTCACGGGGAGGACATCACAGATGAAGAAGATGGTGGAATTATTCGCAGGATCATCACTAAGGGGGAGGGGTACACAAAGCCTAATGAGGGTGCATCTGTGGAAGGTGAAACACTGCTCTTATTCCTCCAACAATCAATAAATGGAGAGCAATTCATCTACATGTCAGTCTGCAAGGGTCCACTAAATGAGTAAAGCAAATGTTAACAGAAGAATGAAGCGAAACTAATTTAAAGAAACAGTTGACCCGAAAATTGCTTTCTCCAGTGCACTATTCCTTTAATCATTTTGTGTGAGTGCACTCTTTGCAGTAGTTAATCGTTCTATTTCTTTGGGTTAGTGTGGTTGGAGGGCTGTCATGAGGACCGCGTTTTCGACGAGCGTGAGCTGAAGTTTGAGGTGGGAGAAGGAGATAGTTTGGGTCTGCCTCCAGGTGTGGAGAAAGCCCTGCAGGCAATGGAACAGGGAGAAGAGGCGCTCTTCACCATCAAACCAAAGTAAAGACACATTTCTTACAACTGCAAGCAGTGTCTGTTGATGTCCATGCTTTATGTTCGTTTATTTATGCGTGATCATTAATCTTAGGTATGGCTTTGGAACTGCTGGCAGCAACAAATTCGACATTCCACCTAATGCTACGCTGCAGTACAAAATCAAATTGAAAGCATTTGAGAAGGTCAGTGTGTGCTCCTAAATAAAAGCAGTGCACAGAGGAATTCACTCAAGAAAAAGCCAGTATATTGGGATATTATGTTTTTGAGGTTAACATTTAGGGAACTTTTGGGTATGTAATATAACATTACTTGTTCCTTGATATAAGGTCATTGAATCCATCCCTAAAAACAACAATAATTTGTCATATGTTTTCTAGCTTTATTTTTTTTTTTTTATCATGCTTTAAGATTAATTACAGTCTGTAAGTGATCAGTTAAGCAGTAATGTCTGTACACAGTCATTGTCATGAATGGATATGAGCTTAATATGTTGTGTTCTCTCATACAGGCAAAAGAATCCTGGGAGATGAACACGACTGAGAAACTAGAACAGAGTGCCATCGTCAAAGAGAAAGGAACTCAGTATTTTAAGGTAGCAGAAATGTCATACACACTGACATGTTATTCATCCACTACGTCCCATTTTAATCTAATAGTACACTTTTTAAGAATTGGAGTGTGTTTTCTGTGCACAGGAGGGGAAATATAAGCAGGCAGCCACGGAATACAAACGCATTGTGTCCTGGTTGGAGCACGAGTCTAGTATGCAGCCGGACGAGGAAGAGAAAGCCAAAGCTCTGCGATTGGCTGCTCATCTCAACCTAGCTATGTGCTACCTAAAGCTGCATGAACCAAATCCTGCCCTCGAGAACTGTGACAAGGTAGGAAATGAACAACATTGTTAATGCTTGCACATGGTCATGCTTACACAGTCATATTTAAGGGCTGCAAAAGTTAATACATTAAGTTTATTAAACATGTTAATAAATGACCCTTAAATTGTAATGCCTTTATTAAAATAAGTAAATAAGCATTATTAGTTATTTTTGAATATTTTTATTTGGCTTTTTTATTTTAGTACTTGTTTATTTTGAATATTGTTGAGTACTTATTTATTGTTGAATATTCTATTTCAGTTACATTTCAAATTTCTGTTTACATTTTTTCTAATGTTTGTATAGTATAAAGTATAAAAGCCAAAAAAGGCATTGGACAGAGTTTCTCTTTATTGATATTCACTCTTGAATCCTAAATTGCAGGTTATATTAAAAAGAGACCAAACTGTTCTCATTTGTCCTGATTTCTTTTTGCTTTCTGTATTTTTGCAGTGGAATTCATAAAAGGAAATCGATGCACTGGATGAACCAGTGTACTACTACACAGTTGGATGAAATACAGAAATACTACAGAACTGCTAGACTAATAAGCTGAAGCAGCTACGCTGAAAATATGGTGTCGAAACAATTTTCACAGATAAATTGCTAAATTTCTCCAATTTTTCACATTTAATGTGTTACTTGACATGACAAATGTGAAATTCTGAAGTAAAGAATAGTATTTTCTAATATAACTTACTCTATTTTTTTTATAACTTTGAACAATTGTTTTTTACAGGGTTTTTTTTAATTATTTTTTTCTTAAATGACATTTTCAAGAACCATAATTCTCATGGGCTTGGACAACCTTGATGATTATGATAATTTTAAAAGTGTGGTTTATAGTCCTGGAAAAGTATTGGAAACTATATTATTTTTCCATGTCCTTGATGCACCTCTGATGTTGACTAGAACAATAAAACAAACTCCAAATCCTCTTGCTGTAGTGTCTGCTTTGTAGCATTTAGTACAGTGTGAAAGTAGTATAAAATTGGTCTGTCTCTGCAAAGATAAATTGTAAGCCAGTGGAATTCATAAAAGGAAATCGATGCACTGGATGAACCAGTGTACTACTACACAGTTGGATGAAATACAGAAAAACTACAGAACTGCTAGACTAATAAGCTGAAGCAGCTACGCTGAAAATATGGTGTCGAAACAATTTTCACAGATAAATTGCTAAATTTCTCAAATTTTTCACATTTAATGTGTTACTTGACATGACAAATGTGAAATTCTGAAGTAAAGAATAGTATTTTCTAATATAACTTACTCTATTTTTTTATAACTTTGAACAATTGTTTTTTACAGGGGTTTTTTTAATTATTTTTTTTCTTAAGTGACATTTTCAAGAACCATAATTCTCATGGGCTTGGACAACCTTGATGATTATGATCATTTTAAAAGTGTGGTTTATAGTCCTGGAAAAGTATTGGAAACTATAAAAAAAAATTAAATGACATTTTTATAATAAATATACATTTTTATTCAATTTATATAAATTGACAAATTGTAAAATCAAATAGAAATTGTTATTAGTGGGTAAAAAAAAAAAAAAATTCCAGAAAAATATTACTGTAATCACAAATTGTATACGTTACCACTTTGTAAGTAAAGTTTGAAAACTAGCAGCTTTGTCATTACACCAGAAGTGTCAGAAATATCCATTCAAATATTGTCTTTGACAGAAGGGGGAGCCTTGGAGTCAAAAAGGTTGAGCACCACTGCATTAGGCCAACTTGTTTTGATAGGTTTGTCTATGAAACCTTCACCATCTTAAATACCATAGAATAAACTCTGAAGGGCTGTGGCGTATAGAGTATACACTATACAGAAATATCCATTCAAATATTGTCTTTGACAGAAGGGGGAGCCTTGGAGTCAAAAAGGTTGAGCACCACTGCATTAGGCCAACTTGTTTTGATAGGTTTGTCTATGAAACCTTCACCAACTTAAATACCATAGAATAAACTCTGAAGGGCTGTGGCGTATAGAGTATACACTATAAGTAGAGTCTAGCAGCAATAAAATAAGAATAAACGTGAAAAAAGCAAGTAATGCATTGCTACACAATTTTTTTAGTAAAGTGCATTTGCGTGGAACTTGAAACACTGACCAAATCAAAGCCAATAGACAGTAAAACCTGAAATCACCTACAGTGTAGCTGTAGATCAGCCAACGGTCCCCATAAGAAAATGGCTTAAATCACATACTACATAATGCCTAAATAATAATATACATCTCAGATGCACAAAGGTTTCTGTGAGGGTTGGATTTAGGATTATCATTAGCACAATCTAAAAACAACAGAAGCCTCCATCCTGATTGTGGCAAACAAATTTTGTATGTGTTTTTCTTTATTACTAAATATGAATATGAACATGACAGTAAACGTTGTCTGTATATTTAAAGACGAACACAACATGCAAAATAACAACATGTTTGACCCAAATATGTAAACCAGGGGTATTAAAACATACTCCATTTTAATATATAAAAATAGCAAACTAAACATGTGAACGGTTACTGACACATTTAGAAATTACTTAATTGAGGAGTATCTGTTTTAAATATATTTGATATTAAAAAAAATATAGCATTGCACACATTTTAAGGTCAAATAGAATATTGTAAACTACTATTACATAACCTAAATCAAACTCCTATATTTTTACATTACTGAAAACGCAAAGCTTCTCTAACGAAGCGTAATTTTATGTCACTGGCTTTGAACACTGGAGATCTTCCCTCATGTCCGCCTGCAGTGTGTCACTTGGTAACACACTGGTCATTGGGGATGGTAAAGTCCCCAGGCAGATATGCTTGTTTGTATCTGCTAAGCTCTTCTCTCTCTTTCTTTCATGTCTCGCGTTCAAATGTGTGGCCCATGCCACATCTGCTGGAAACGCCATTGACACTGAAGACAAATAAACCTGCATGCAAAACAACCTGCAGCAACAGTATAGCAGGACATACAGGTTTATCCAGATCAGCTGTGCCGCACAACACATCCAAACATTTTCCTTTGTCCTCTATGGACTTTTAGGAGATTTGTGAATTAGCATTTAAAAAAGAATAAATGCTTTTGTGGACAATAATAATGAACATTAACATTGTATAGCCAAGTGAATGAGACAAAAAAAAAATTTATCCCTTCTGCCTTTAATATTTAAACAAGTATTTTATCTATCTATCTATCCAATATTTTTTAAATATTGATATTAAATAGATAAAATGCTAAACAAGATATATATATGTGTGTGTGTGTGTGTGTTACTGATATGTTGATTTATTTATTAAATATGTCCTTTCCAATACAATTTTTTTATTGTGCTATGATAACTCTCTCGCTCTCTCTCTGTGTAAAATATATCGATTTCAATATTTAAAAACTTCTTCCTTATATTGTGCTAATGATACACACACACACACACACAAACATTTGTTTTGCAAATTGTAAACATTTTTTTAAAAACTTCTGTTAAGGGGTGTTTTTATGTTAATAAATGTAAGGATAGCTTGTTTTTTAATGCTATTTTTTATTGCCAAAGCATCACACAAGCTATACATGTATATACATTATATACCAATTATAATAAATAAATGACACAAAATAATAAAAAAACTACATCTCGACATAATAGGCCTACATCGCATTCTTTAACTAAACAAATGAAAAGGCAGCACAGATTTACCGTCTTAAGAGCTTTGTAGTTGATTGAAGATGAAATCGCTTGGATATATTGCTCCATATCTAGCAGACTCGTGTGTGCCTCTGTTGTACCTGTTGAGGAGCAGCGACGTCACGCAGAGGGCGTGGCCTCCTCAACCTGTGCGCGCACTGATGTGTGAGGGACGCTTGCGGACGCTGAATCACAGAGAAGAGAAGAGAAGGAAATGTGAACCAGTGTGACGCGACGTCGGCTTTTTCCACCTGCTTTGAAACCGGGAAAGCGTGTGTCGATGGTCTTTACAGCGGTTTTCAACTTGTGTGAACCACACGGAGCCCGAAGCACTTGAAGATGATGCTCAACTTTTTCCCCGTGCGGAAATTCAAGCGCAACGGCAGATACATTGTGTTCGGGGCGGTGCTGACTGTCGCGTTACTGGCGGTATATCTGGAGTTCATGGCCACGAGCGACGAGTGGAGCAGCACTGGTGAGTGACTTCTGATGCCCTGTCACTAATTACTGGTTACTGATACATTCGTTATGCTAATGGTTACATATAAGGCCAAGTTATGGTGATGCTTTACAATAGGGGTCAGTTTATTAACTTTATTTAATTGACCATGTATCACGAACGGACCATGAACAGCATTTAATGGACTAGGTAATGATTCCCAAACGTTCTGTCAGCCGAACCTATTTGACCTAAAAGTGTACGGTTTCTGATCTCGGTTAATGGTCACATGACACGCAGGTAAACAAAATATGTAATCTTTTTTTTTTTTTTTTTTTTGTATTTTACTTGTTTTTATATTTATTAATAATGTTCATATATTATTTATTTTTGTTAGCAGACTGAAAATCAATCACGTCGGGTGGTTCTTGGCCTCCACGTCTTGCATTTAAAATCTTTAATGCATGGCAAACCGTTGATTATCCCTTACTTAATGAATTTAACTGAATATTATCAATATTACATTATTAACTCCATTCTATTGTCTTTTTCTATTTCATTCTGACAGTTTCATTCATTCCATTATCTTTTTTAAATTAATTGTTATATGTACAGTTAATTAAACCAATTTCTAATAGGATTCCGGTTTTTAATTACATTCCACTCTACCTATTTCTTATAATATTCCATTCTACTACCAAATACAGTCTATTTTCTAGCTATATCCATTGTTTTCTAATTAGAGTAATTACATTCTGCATACATTCCATTTTTAATTTTGTTCCAGATTTTGCTCACTACATTCCACATTTTTAATGTTTACTTGCAGTCCATTCTACTAATTACGTTCCACAGATTTGGAGAAATTTAGTGCACCAATGGATCCTCTGCAGTGAATGGGTGCCGTCAGAATGAGAGTCCAAACAGCTGATAAAAACATCACAATAATCCACAACTCTCTAGTCCGTCAATAAACGTCTTGTGAAGAGCTGAAGTGTTTGTAAGAAACAAATCCCTCATCCACCATAACTGCAAGCCAAAATATGTGTACATAATCCATAACATTGGAAAAAGTCCATCCCCTGTTGTCCTCTCAAATCAACATTTTTTGCTTGTAAACTGTGCTTGCTCTGTGCATATTTCTCTCCTGATTCAAACGTGAATACTTTTTTTGTTTATTATTACTATTACTTTATTAGGACTATTAATTTAGCTGGAAGTAAGCACATTTTATTACAAATATGCAGCTTTTTGCTTCACAATACATTAACTGATAGACTGGAGTGGTGTGGATTATTGTGATGTTTTTATCAGTTGTTTGGACTCTCGTTCTGACGGCACCCATTCACATGTAATGCTAAATTTCGCCAAATCTGTTCCGATGAAGAAACAAACAAATGTTGGATGGACTGAGGGTTTTGGGTGAACTATTCCTTTAAGAAGAGTTTTTCATGGTGAATTGCTTCCATTATTATTACACACAATGCAATGCAATATACAATACAACATGCAAACAGTACAGAACAATGAATTTAGTGCAGTGACAGAATACATTGTGTTGATGCGAACATGGATATGGTCAGTGTGCACGCAGACACAAGAACATCAGGCTGGTTGTTTCTGCCCTGCCGGTCTAGTTAGTTTCTTTACACCTGCTCAAAATCAGGGTGTTTCCTTCCCATTCCCAGAGTGATTCACGGTGTCTACTCTGCTTTTCTTTTTTCTGCTGACTCGGGGACCTTGAAACATATAGCAATTTTTAATCATGTTTTCTCATTGGCCCTGATTTGCAAAGGCTGCACAAAGAGAAGATCATGTGATTGAGGAAACTTGAGAGATGTCTAGTGAGCTCTGATTTGCAGAAGGGGTTTGTCATCTTGTTTGAGGTCAGTATCAGGTCAAAGAAGCAGCACCAATGTCACACCAGCTGGACCTCAGGCAGCTAAAATGATACTTAAATAGTAAACATGCACTGCCCTGTGAGCGAAATCATATTTAAAAGCAACAACTGTCCGGTAGAACTTTGAGGAGGAAGCTTGAATGTGATGAAGTACTTTGTTCCTTCTGTATTTTTAAAAGAAATCCAGAAGTGAATGTTTGACCTGCACATGGCATCACTGACACGCTCTTGTGAGTCCGCTGGCCATGAATTCACATGCATGCCATTCCTTTGTGAACCTGCATATATTTTGCATGCTGACGTTACACATACTTTTTTATCCTCCTGGGGTAATGTTATTTGCATATTTATGAGGTTAATAAAATCAATTGGACATGCTCCCAATATGAATTAAATTTACATTTACATTTACATTTAGTAATTTAGCAGACGCTTTTATCCAAAGCAACTTACAAATGAGGACAATGGAAACAATCAAAATCAACAAAAGAGCAATGATATGCAAGTGCTATAACAAGTCTTAGTTAGCTTAACGCAGTACACATAGCAAGGTTTTTTAAAATTATATAATAAATAAAAAGAAAAACACATAGAACAGAAAAAGAATAGAGCAAGCTAGTGTTAGAGGCCTTTTTTGCTTTTGATAATTGTATAATAAATAAAAAGAAAACAAATAGAATACAAAAAGATTAGAAAAGCTAGTGTTAGTTTTTAAAAATAAAATTAGAATAGAGAGTGCTAGAGTTAGAGGGTCAAAAAAAATGGAAGAGATGTGTTTTTAGCCGATTCTTTAAGATGGCTAAGGGCTCAGCTGCTCGGATTGAGTTGGGCAGGTCATTCCACCAGGAGGGAACATTTAATTTAAAAGTCCGGGAAAGTGATTTTGTGCCTCTTTGGGATGACACAATAAAGCAACGTTCACTTGCAGAACGCAATATGAATGCACGCAAACCTTTCCTTCTTTTAAATATCATCACGTAAATCTGTTGTTTAAACTGTTAATACATTAAGTTTTTTTCTCCAACTCTGAAAACTATGGAATGAAAAAAATAATAAAGGTAATTGTGACTTTTAATCTCAATTCTGACTCTTTTTTTTTTTTTTTTTTTTTTACTTGCAATTCTAAATTTATGTCTCATAATTCTGACTTTTTTCTTTAGAATTCTCCAATACAAACTTGTGGGGAAAAAAAAGTTTGATCTGAGAGATGTAATCTCAGAGTTGTTTTTATTCAATGGCAAAAACAGGCTTTTGTACAATGCAATTGACCCTTCGCCAGCAGTTTGATTGACAGGTGATCTGGCCAATCATAACGTCGAATCTGCTATTTTGTTCGATAAACAAACCAGACAGGATAGTATATTAACGTCGGTGGACTTGAACTTGAAAAATGGAGTGATACCTTCTGATGTTCATTCATGTATATTTTGTGCTATAACTAGAAAAGAGATGATCAGTTCATGTGGTGCTTGAACTGAGGCGCTACAGCAATCTGTCACAACCAACTAAAGAACCACAAAATGGTATTTATTGTTTAAATTTCTTAAAAAATTACAAAATTTGAAATCTGAGACTTTTTCATACCAAATGTAACCTGTTCTGTCCAAACCTGCTTTGTCTGTCAACGCGTTGTCCGGTTCCTCTTTGCTCCACGATGTATTTTTCATCTATGTATTATGAGAACATGATGTGAGAGCTTGTCGGACGTAGCAACAGTAACTAAGGGTCAACAATGTTTTTTATTGTTTGTTTGTTTTTTTTGGTAGATGAAATCAGTTTAATGACCGCAGATGAGATTACACAAACATTCTGAAACATTTTAAACCGTATTTAAATTTCAGAATTGTTTGTATTGATTGTCAATTGTCAAAGCTGTTGGTAGATTCTCGGTTTTGAAGCTACCATTTGTAGTCAGTCACACAGAAATCAGCTGAAGTGACCAAATATAGTGGCCAAATATTCACCTAAAAAAGAAAATGCTGTCATTTACTCACCGTCAAGTTGCTTCTTTTGTGTTCCACAGAAGAAAGAAATACATGCAGGTTTGGAACAACATGATGGTGAGTAAATATGAGTAAATATTGTGACAATTTTCATTTCTGGGTGAACTGTAAGGAATGGGTGAGTAGTGCCAATCTGTGAAACCTAGTAGCACGTTAATGTTTTTAAAGTTTTTTTTATGTGTTTTTTTTTTGTTTGTTTTATGCCTAAATTGGTACAAAATCTTCAGGAGAAGATGCACCATCGTCATTTTGTACAACATTTGCAACTGCTTATAATCGCTTAATTCGATGGACCACAATTATCAAATTGTGTCATCCGTTATAGGGACTACTGAACAGACATTTAGATGTTTCACCCCCCCCCCCCCCCCCCTCTTTCTCCCATGCTGCACTGGGTACGGGAGCTTCTTTCTTTTAAACAAACTCAACATTCCTCCATGTGCTGCCGGTGACCTCTAAGGAGTACAGTAAAAGAAAGGATTTGGAAAATGGAGAAAGGCAAAGAAGGAAATGTGGGTTGCTTGCTAAAAACACACTTTGAACATGCACATGACATGCAGAAATCCTCAGGATCTATACTTTAAATGCATTTGTTCTCACTCGCACACTAAGGAAAGTTCACACACTGCCCAGTGTGCAAATACACAGACCTGAAGACACAGACCATAAAAGTCTGCCTGCCACGGCCCTCCCCGTAGTGTGAGTTTAGTGGCACTGGGGGTCAGGTGACCCTTTCTTCTGTAAGGTGAGGCGTCATTTCCTGTGCTCATTGTTACTATAGCACCAACGTGTAAGGTTAAGCACACTTGAACTTCTCTGTACACACACACACACACTCTGTCTTTTTGCAGAGAGTCTGTTGGCTTCACCTCCCGATGAGCATCTTGACATTTGCTGTAAATGTTTGAAGAGACCTAATGTGCAAATATACTAGAAAGCTTTTTTTGTGTATGCATCTTCTGTTTGACAAATTCTGATACAATTTGTCCCTGTTGAGCAGGATGTCTCCGCCACAAAATTGTGAAAAGAAAAGTTTGATCTATGAGATGTAATCTCAGAGTCGTGAAAAGAAATTAGCAAATTGTTTTTATTCCGTGGCAGAAACAGGCTTTTGTACAATGCAATTGACCCTTCGGCAGCAGTTTGATTGACAGGCGGTCTGACCAATCATAATGCCAAATATGCTATTTTATCCGATAAACAAACCAGACATGAGTAGATTAACGTCGGTGGACTTGAACTTGAAAAAATGATTGATGTATTGATGTCTTTCTGCTAGGGATGCACCGATATGAAAATTTTGGCCGATACCGATAACCGATTATTCTTTATTTTTGAAAGCCGATAACCGATATGTTGGCCGATAAATCTATATCCAAATTGTTATATACTTTTTGAGAGCCTGATTACAAAAAAGGTCTCATCATTAAAAGCCACATCCCAAACACTTCAACATAAGCAGCCTAGTTTGAACGGTGTACATTTTAAAAATATTTTTACTCTCCCATTACCAAATTTAGTCATAAAAAAGCCTTACAAATAAATAAAATTATGCATAAATAATGCAAACAAGTCACTGGACATCATTACACATGTAAAGAATCAAAATGAATGCGCCACAGATCAATAAAACAGAATAGCCTCTGCACGGACAATAATTAAATGATTTTAATTACTAAACCATATTGTTGATGAAAATAATAAGAGAAAAATACAAGTGGTTGTTGTTATTAATAATATATCAATGATTTTGAAAAAGTAACAAATTAATACCACTGTTTTAAATAGCAGCCATTGAGCTGCAGCTCAAGCTGAAGCTGAAGAGCTGAATGAACACGGTAAACTGAAGCGTTTTGCTGGCAGCTTATTTAACTCAAGGAAATGCATCCTGAGATTAATATTAATACAACATAAACATAATATTACAACTTATATATGAAATGACAAATGACGCAGTTATTGCATGCTATAGTCAGAATGTGTGATCCTGTTGTGGATGCGCTCTTCCCATAACAACGCGCTGAAACACGGCAACTAAACCCAAAGAATTCACAACGTTTTATTATAATAATGTTCTCATTAGAATGTTATATACACGACATTCCCAATCATAGTTATTAATGTTGTGCACTGCTGTTTGAGCTGCGTGCGCTGAGCTAAAGACGATCACCGGTAAACTGAAGCGCTCTTTTAACTTAACCAAACGCATTCTATATGAGATAAATCAGATATACATCAAATAAACACAATATTACAACGTACAATTGCACAAAAGGCTGCAAACGAACAGCGCGCATCTGAAGTGTCTCTGAAGGAAATAATGCATTATTTATCGGCTTTAAGATATCGGCCAAATTTTCTTATCAGGCCGATACCGATAACAGAAAAAATGAGCAGATATCGATATGGTGGCCGATATATCGTGCATCCCTAAAAAATACAACTGTTAGTTCATGTTAGCTCAGGTCCTTTAAACAATATGAACAAATACGACGTTTGAGTTTAATAATGTATTAGTAAATGTTGAAATTAACTAAGATTAATGAAGGTTTTAGAAGTATTTTCATTCTTAGTTCATGTTTACTATGCAGTTAATTAATATTAACAAACAGAATATTATTGTAAACTGCTACCACAATACTAAAATAACACAGGTTTGTAATAACTAGCTAGTATTGCTGATAAAAGCATTCTCCGCAATCTTTCTTTCCAGTTTGTAAATCCTGCACTGCAAAAAAAAAAATGTTTTTTTTGTCTTGTTTCCAGCCAGAATATCTAAAAATTCTTAAATCAAGAAGGACAAATTATTGTCTGGTTTTCAGAAAAAACATGTCAAAATTAAGTGAGTTTTTGCCTGAAACAAGCAAAATAATCTGCCAATGGGGTAAACAAAATAATCTTGTTTTCTGTTTGAAATAAGATTATTGTGTTTGTTCTAAGCAAAAACTCACTTAATTTTGACATGTTTTTT